TAATCTCAGGAAACAAACTGAGGGTTGTTGGAGTGGTGGGGGTGGGAGGGATGGGGTGGCTGGGTGAGGGACATTGGGGAGTGTATGTGCTATGGTGAGTGCTGTGAATTGTGTAAGACTGATGAATCACAGACCTGTACCTCTGAAACAATACATTATATGTTAAAAAAAAAAAAAAAAGGTAGTAGGAAGGGAAAAATGAAGGGGGGGAAATCGGAGGGGGAGACGAACCATGAGTGACTATGGACTCTGAGAAACAAACTGAGGGTTTTAGCAGGGAGGGGGGTGGGGGGATGGGTTAGCCCAGTGATTGGTATTAAGGAGGGCACATATTGAATGAAGCACTGGGTGTTATACGCAAACAATGAATCATGGAACAGTACATCAAAAACAAATGATGTAATTTATGATGACTAACATAACATAATAAAATAAAATTTAAAAAAATAAAATAAAACAAATAAATAAATAAAAATAAATGGGTTAGCTCTATAAGTTGGTACATTTGATATGCTGCTGCATTACAGTTCTACTCAGAGATGTCTCTGAAAGACAGTGGTAAGGGAATGGGGGGATCTTTCCCATGAGCAGAGCTTAGAATAGCACACCTGGCATTCAACTCCGTGTGGGGGGTGAAGTAGTCTGAAGCAAGGACATACTCAGATTAATGAGCAGTGGTGAATGATTTAGCTATTTGGTCAGGGGCTTAGGATGAGAGAGATTAGAATCTCAGGGAGACAAGGAGATCAAGAGAAGAATTGTGGGGACATCCAGGGGGCCATGAGGATCTTTGTGTTCACCTCAATGACCAATTCATTGGAAGATGGAAGAGACATCTTCCACACTGGAAGCCCAGAACAACCAAGTGCATAGGATGAGTTACCCAGTGGAAATAAGCCAGCCCTTCACCTTGGTCACCTCTGTTCTCGCATTATGGGGCTATGAACATAGTACTCATGGAGTTGGAGACTGAGGCTGTGCATAGGCCCAAGGACATGGACATTATCACAAGGTTGATCCACCTACTGTCACTGCTGAATGTCAGAGCTGTCAGCAGCTGAGACTGGTATCACCTACAAGGAGATCAACCAGCCAACAACTGCGGGTTGATTGCATTAGAACTCTTCCATCCTGGAAAGAATACTGAGTCATCCCTACTGGAATGATTATGTATTCCAAGTATGTGTTTTCCTTTCCTGTCTTTTTTTTTTTTTAAAGATTTATTTATTTATTTATTTGATGGAGAGAGACACAGTGAGAGAGGGAACACAAGCAGGGAGCCCGATGCGGAGCCCGATGCGGGGCCCGATCCCAGGATCCTGGGATCATGACCCCAGCCGAAGGCAGACGCTTAAGGACTGAGCCACCCGGGCGCCCCTCCTTTCCTGTCTTTAGTGCTTCTGCCAGCACCACTCTCTGAAGGTTCTCAGTTTTTCTGGTTTATTGTTGTGGGATCTTTGTTACATCACTTTGGACCAAGAGGCCGATTTTACAGGGAAGGAAAGTAAAAATGGGCATAAGACCTTGAGATCCACTGGTTCTTTTGTGCTGCACATCATTCAGAAGTGGCTGGCCTAACAGAACACTGGGATGGTCTCTTAAAGGTACAGATCATTTGCTAGCTTACAGATGACACCAGAGAGGTTGATACCCTGTCCTTCAAGATAGAGTAAAACCATTAAGCTAGGGGCGCCTGGGTGGCTCAGATGGTTAAGCGTCTGCCTTCGGCTCGGGTCGTGATCCCGGGTTCCTGGGATCGAGCCCCACATCGGGCTCCTGGCTCAGCGAGGAGCCTGCTTCTCCCTCTCCCTCTGCCTCTCTCCCTGCTCATGCTTTATCTCTCTCTCTCTCTCTCTCTCTCTCTCTCTGTATCTCTGTGTCTCAAATGAATAAATAAAATCTTTAAAAAAAAACCCAAAAACCCATTAAGCCAATGACTATTATACAGCATTTTTCTCAGAGGTAGACTGCATGAGTCTAGGAACCAAGCAGTTGAAGTAGGAATGGCCCTTTTTACCATTACTTTCAGTAACCCACTTTGGGGAATTTGTACTTCCAGCCCCCGTAACTCTAGGCTCAGCTGGATTCAATGTCCTGGTCCGAGGGGAGAGACTTTCTGCCAAGGGATGCAATAAGGGTTCCACTGAATCTAAGGTTATGGCTGCTACTTGTTCACTTTGGGTTCCGCATGTAAGCAGACCAGTAGGTAAAGAAAGAAGTTGCCATACTGACAGGGGTAAGTGACCCTGGTTATCTTGAGGATGGTTCCTGTGCCATAACACGGGCAGGAAATGTATGTCTGGAATTTCCTGGGATGTTTCTTGGTGCTTCCATTACCAAAACATAACCATAAATGGAAAATTGAAATAGCCGTAGCCTGACAAGAGCATGACCAGGGACTTGGACATACTAGAGAGGAAGGTCTGGATTTCCTGTTACGGAAACAACCGAACTGGGCACACTGGCTGGGCAAGCAACTTGGACCAGCTGCCTGAAGGTGAGGAGAATCTAGAATGGATTCTAGACATGGAGATGATAAATATCAGTTGAAGACTTGGAACCGACCGTAGCAGAAGGGGCTCTCGCTTCCTGTTGTACGTTGTTTCTTTAGGAAGTTGTGACCAGTCACCATTTTGAAGTAACACTGGCCAGACAGAGTGAACTTAAAACGCAGTATAGGTGGATCTCCGTGGTGCAAGGCCAATGACACCGCAGACTGTCAGAGCCTTGCTCACATACCTGGGACCTGACCATCTCTGTGTGTTCTGGAATGACTTTTAACTCCCAGTGTCTCTGCTCTGCACCAGAGAGCTTTTTTCTTTCTCTTTTTCTTTCTTTCTTCCTTCCTTCTTTTTTTTTTTTTTTTTTTCAAATGCAGGCTGCCTGCTTGCCCAGCAAACCAGAAGAGACCTGGAGAATTAACAGTCCCGCTGGGAGCTGCCCTCAGTGATGACAGACAGAAGACAGTGTACAAATCCTCCAGCTCCCTCATCTGGTGGGTTGGACAAATCGGGGTCATGTATGTTGCACAGTTTCTTAGCCTTTTTGTGTGGGACTGACTGGCTGCCCCCTGTTTCAGGCGCACTTTATTAGCTGCTTTCTCTGTCTCATTCCCCTGCTTCTCTGCAATTGCTGCTTGTAACTTCCACATAAATGACTTCGGCTCAAATCCTGTGGCAGGATCTGTCTCTGGGTGAATCCAAGCTAAGATGGCTTCATTTACTGTTCCTACCTTTATCTTCCTTTCACATGGATCTCTCACTTATACTTTTCATTTGGGCCCTTATGTCTCCGTTCGGACTATGTTTCTAGGGGCAACACATCTGCAGTTCCTTCTTCCCTAAAGGCAATCCAGTCCGCATCACCTTTAGGCTCCAGGGCAAGTGGGCAAACATCATCTGGGGATAACTAAGAGAACAGACCTCAAGGAACTAAGGCAGCTTAACCAAAGCCATGTGGTATTAGCAGTAGAACTGGGAATAGAATGGTTTGCTAAATAAGTTGTGTCTTATCACAGACAAGAGGGTTGGTGTAAGTCTCACCAGCCTGGGAGCACATATGTTAATCTTAGGCCTTCATCTTGCCAGCAGGAACTTAACGTCCTTTAAAGAGTGTGCCAATTATCTCTGAGTGCTTCAAGCTGGCATTCCAGAACTTGCTCAGAAATCATCTTTCAGGTTCCTTTTCTCCCTCTGGGGCTCCTGAGGTCAACGTTCGCAGCCCTGGAAATGGCCAATGTGTTCCTAACGAGAGTGCCACTGTCTCTGCCAAGGGGCTTGTCTCCCAATGCTCTGGTTTCCCTGGTCAATAAATACAGCCCAGGAATCTTCCACGACTCTTGGTCAGCCATCATGATGATGTCCCTGGTGAGAACATCCATGTCCTTCCCAAGGGGCTGTCTCCGAGGCTCTCTGAGCTGCCACTCCCAGGACACAGGAATGGGCAACCCAAAATACTGAGCACGGAGCCTCTTCCAGGTCTCTGGGTTTGCATTGTCGGTACCTGGGCTTTCATCTTCCTCTCTCTTGAGAGGATCTCCTCCAGTTTCTGACCCTTGTGCCCAAATTCCCCAATAGCCCTGATCCAACAAAAACGTACACGTCCTCTCAAGAACAAACAGCAGTTTTCTTGCACAGAGATGCCTCCGTTCATTCTTAAAGGTAAAATGAAATAAAATCTCTCCAAAGGCAACCAAATACGTGGAGTAGAAAGTGTAGTTGGCCTATGGACAACATTTTTCATGATCACACAGAGCATTTCAGTCCCAAGAACCACAGCAGTATCTCAAAAGCCTCTTTCTTTTCTAATTAGGGTCTCAGCCTCATATTTACATACTCAAATGGCCCCTTGAGTGGCTTTCCTGGAACAAAGTTTCTTCTGAAGGTATCTCCAAGTCTTCTTCTCCTTACACCCCAAATTCCTTTGAAATGACAGCACTTTTTCTACAGCACCCGCCCCACCCCACATGGACTTTCTTCATTCCTGTCATGTCTTCAGAGACCTTAGGACCAACTTTCAAGGCATCAGTGGTATGGGCAAGCAGCCCGAGAATGGAATGTCTCCCCTTTAGTGGCGACCATGGAAAGTTCTTCCACATACAGGAGCATGAATACTGACTGAGCAGAGCCATGGGGCTGGATCCCTTTTCATCACACTCATGCTACCTCCTCGTCCGTTTTTAAGCTCAGTTTCAGGTTAGCCTCTGGGTGTGCGCTAAGGACAAACGGTCTTTCTTGCTACAAGTGTGGGACGGTTGCCTGATGCCCCTTAGGCAGGAGGGCGAGATTTTGAGGATGGTAGGGACACTCCTCGGAGGGGGCCCCCTGGAGGCTGGCTCTGGGCAGCTCTCACCAACCACCCCACGGGAAAGTGACCCTCACAAACTCTCCTTCTGCCAGATGTGTTGCTCACTAGACAGTGGCCAGACCACGCGAGGACAACCAGGTGAAAGTCTCTACTTTCCATGTGAGGTGGAAAGCCTTTCTGGAGTCCCTCTCCCGATCCAGACGTCGCTAATAGAAGGGAGCCTTGGGAAAGCTGACTCATCCTGCTTTGCTCAACTTTGCTCTGCCTCCTACTCAGTCATAAATTGCTGCACAGACTGTGCCAGATAAATTGACATTAAGAGTTATTAAAGGAACTAGTCGACAGTTTAGAAAATGTGCATTCACGGCAAGCGTCGGCGGTCCTCTGGAAGAGCCGGGGCAGGGCAGAGTGACTTGGTGAGTCACCGAGCCAGGGCCTGGCAGTTCCAAGGGTGGGAAGAAATCCCAGGGCTCAGGGAGGCCCAGCGTGGCCCCTTAAGGAGGCAGCCAGGGGAACCCGGGGGCGAATGCACGGAGCCTTGTCTGTGACACTGTGTTTTACGGTCTGTGGGTTAATGTCATGACTTGGGTTTCACACAGGGATTTGTGTATTGAAGGCTTCCTTTAAAACCATTGTTTTTATTTTGGGCAGCGCAGTGGTAATGAACCGTGGTAGTGAGTCGTGGTAGTGGTGGTGGTGGGGGGTCCCTCCTATCTGTACGTGCGCAACCGGAGCTTCTGTTTCTGCTGCGTTTCCCCGGATTTGCGCCCTGCGGGAAGTTCGTAGGATCACACCCAGCCTGGTGCTTCCCTGGCATACACTTTTCAAAATGTGCTGTAGGCGCTCCGTAACAATTGCTGGCAGGAGAGACTGGGGAGCCGCTTCGAGGGCTGGCCGCTGGCGTCGGGAGGAAAGCACTTACCTGTGACTCGCCATTTACCGTCCAGGGGAGCCGATATATTCGGGTTTAGTGTAAAATCAGCTGAGACTTGTCTGTGACTTAAGCTATTGCCCAGGTGTTTTTGGAGAAGGCTTACTGGGGTGTTTTTCCAGATAACTGTGGTTGCCCGTTGAGTGACCTCTGGATAGCAACAGTTAACGTTTAATTACATGTTTGCTGTATGCCAGAGAATGTTCTACAGGCTGTATGTCCATTAACTCATTTAATCCTCAGAGCAACTATTTGAGCTAAGTTCTCTCATCATGCCTATGAAACAGCCGAGGAAACTGAGGCACATAATAGGCGTTAAGTACCTTGCTGAGGATCACACAGCTAGCAAGTTATGGAGCTGGGATTGAAACTCAGACATTCTGGCTTCAGACACTGTGCTTTTAGGCAAGACCCTACAGCGCTGTTTAGCAAATTTTGAACACACACCGCCACACCCCACAACCCCCCCACCCTCCCAGCCCCCACACATGCACCCACACAACCACTCACCTATCCATCAAAAATTTAAGTCCCCTTTGGAATAAACAGATTATATATAATGACTATGTTTTTAAGAAATCTGTTCAATCTACTTAGCCCCTCTTCCCGAGCCGCTTCTTGGCTGTCAGACATGGTAGAGGACACCCACAGTGAATAAAACCTCCGTCTAGGATTTTGAAAGCCATAACGAACACTAGAAATGATGACCGTAATTTATTCTGGAGAAATCAAGATAGGGACCGATTGGAAACTATATGATTTGCGATATCTTAAAAAAAAAAAAAAAAAAGATAACACTGAAGTTTGCCCCATGAGAAATTCTCAGAGTGACTTTGTTATGTGGCATTCATACTGGGTAATGTTCATTATGTTCCAAAATTTAATTCATATCTTTATATTCTATTCCTCCAAAAGCTCTGAAAGATGTTTATTGTCCATTAGGGTTTAAGAGGGTATCTGCCTGTCCTACTGAGAAGCTGCCTGAAGCTGCATGATCTGCATATGGGCCTTTGATCTAACTATCATCACTGGCTGACCGACCTGGGAAACGGGACGGCCTGGGTGGAGATCTGGTAACACCAGGTAACTACTGACCTTTTGGGGGCTGTTGTCTCATCTGTACAGGGAAGGGAGTGAGTGAGAGGACCTCCAAGGTCTGTCTCAGTTCTTTACGAGTCCACGATTCTGATTATTTTTAGCCACATTTCTGGAAGGCTAACCTTTATACACATTTTTCTTACATGTGTAACAAAACTTTTCATTCTTGGCACTGGGTTTTTGGCATAACAGCATCTTCAGACAAGCCTTCTTATCTTGGAAGATAACATTCAGAAAAAGGGGCGATTTACTTTTTTTACTTTAGACAAGTTAAAAAATGCTTTCTTCTGGTCTTCCAAATCATTTTCTCTTCATACAATTCCTAACTAGTGAGTAGGCAGGGTGTCTGGTAGTCAAATAACCTTTAAACATAGAGAACCAACCTATGGCTTCTTCCAGAGGCCGCTCACAGTAATCACTTTGTAGATTAGCAGGTCTTTTAATAGGGATGAAGCACCGGGGCTGCCTGCTGGTCTCTTGGCACCTGTCCTGGAATTCACTAATGTTGTATTCATATTCTGGATTTGGGTCTTTTGTCCCCCATTACCTCAACACCTCTTTGCTATTAAAAAAAAGAATCAATGACAACGAAAGACAAAAACAACCGGGTGTCAAAACAGTAACAGATTAGTGACTTGGGTAACAATACAGGCATGCCTCCGAGACACCGCAGGTCCTATTTCAAACTACTGCATTGAAGTAAATATCACAATAAAGGGAGTCAAATGAATTTTTTAGTTTCCCGGTACATATAAAAATTATGTTTGCACTGTGCTGTCATCTGCTAAGTGTGCCATAGTATTGTGTCTAAAAAACCCAATATACATACAGTAATTAAAAAAATGCTTTATTGCTGGGGCACCTACGTGGCTCAGTCAGTTGAGTGTCCGACTCTTGATTTCAGCTCAGGTCATGATCTCAGGGCCCTGATCTCAAGGGCTCAAGATCTCACTGAGCGTGGAGCCTGCTTGTCCCTCTCCCTCTGCTTCTCTCTCTGCTCACGCTCTCTTTCTCTCTCTCAATCTCTCAAATAAATAAATAAAATATTTTTAAAAATACTTTATTGCTAAGGTAAATGCTAACCATCATCTGAGTATTCAGTGAGTCATAAACTTTTTGCCAGGGAAGGGTCTTGCCTCGATGTTGATCTGCTGACTGATCAGAGTTGCTGAAGCCTGCAGTGGCTGTGGCAGTTTCTTAAAATAAGACAACACTGAGGGGCGCCTGGGTGGCTCAGTCATTGGGCGTCTGCCTTCAGCTAGGGTCATGATCCTGGAGTCCCGGGATCAAGCCCCACATCGGGCTCCCTGCTCAGCGGGGAGTCTGCTTCTCCCTCTGCTCCTCCCTGCCAGCTTGTGTCTCTTTCTCTCCCTCTCTCTCTCAAATAAATAAATAAAAATCTTAAAAAACAACAGCAACAGCAACAATACTGAAATTTACTCCATCAATCAACTCTTTCTTTCACCTGAACGCTTAGAGGCCATTGTAGGGTTATTAATTGGCCTCATTTCAATCTTGTTGTGTTTCGGGATATAAGGAGGCCCAAGGAGAGGGAGAGAGATGAGGGAATGGCTTGTTGGTGGAGTAGTCAGAACACATACAACATTTATCAATTACATTTGCCATCTTAGGTGGCCTTATGTCACGGTGCCCCAAAGCAATAAGAGTAATAACATCGAAGCTCACTGATCACAAATCACCATAACAAATGTAATAATAGTGAAAGAGTTTGAAATATTACAAGAATTACCAAAATGGGACAGAGAGACGAATACAGAGCACAATAAAACAAGGTATGCCTATAATATATATATATATATTTTAGATTTTATTTATTTATTTGAGAGAGAGAGACAGAGGTAGTGAGAGAGCACAAGTGGGGAGGAGAGGGAGAAGCAGGCTCCCCACAGAGCAGGGAGCCCAATGCAGGGCTTGATCCCAGGACCCCTGGATCATGACCTGAGCTGAAGGCAGACGCTTAACTGACTGAGCCACCCAGGTGCCCGCAAAAAATATATTTTAACTATAATTGTAGTAAGAAAATGAAGGACATGTGGTCTTCACGGTGTTCTGTAGGCAATAAAATGGAAGCAACACGATCAGTTAGGTGGAATCCTAGCTCTTTGATTAACCATACTCAGGCAGCATGGGTTAAAAGATTGAAAAATAGAGCAAGGGCTTAAAACGTATCCCTCCCCTCATGGCCCCATTCTTGGCCCTGCCTTATTCAACATTTCAAATTGAAATTTTAAATACAAAATGTAAAATATACATTAAAGAGGAAAGAACAGTATAATAAGCCTCCATTTATCCAACACCCAGATTCTAGACATCCTGAAGCTACACTGGCTTCATCTACCTTCCATTTTTCTCTGCTGAAGTCTTTTACAGCAAATTTCAGAAAGTATATTATGTTATCCCTGTGCAATTCACTGGGAATTTCTAAAGACTGAACCTTTTCTTTTGTAACATAATAACACTATCACAGCGAAGGTAACGATTATCCCTTGGTACCTTCTAATATCTCGATTGTCTCAAAATGGCTTTTTATTGTTGGTTTTTCAAACAGGGATCAAAACAAGGTCCTGACATCACATTTAGCTATTATGTCTCTTAGGTCTCTTTTACTCAAGAGCAGCTCCCCCTGCCACCCCTGCCCCCTTTTTTAGTCAGTTGCTTGTTAAAGAAACTAGGTTAGTTGTCCTGTGGAAGGCCCAGATTCTAGATCTGGCTGTTTTCTTTCTTGTGGTGTCATTTAGCTTATTCATCACATTCCCTGGAACTTCCAGTTAGCTTGATTAGACTCAGGTTAATTTTGTGTTTTTAGGAACAATACTTCATAGGTTGGAAGGTGTTCATCATACGGCATCACAGAGGGGCCTGTTCACCTGCCTCACTTTAGTGTTCCTAACTTAGGTAGGCAGGTTCAGATGGTGATAGCCAGTCCTTTCAATATAAAGTTCCCCATTGATAGGGTGATGATAGCAGTTTTCCTGGATTAGTCCCAGATTATGACCGTTCTGCTGGTGTTCTGACCAGTTTATCATTTGTTCTCAATTTTTCATTTTTAAACAAACTGTTGTTATCAAGACTTGCATTAAAATAAGCCAAGATGGATTTGGTAGACCTCTACTTCGCAGTTCAGCTCCTGCTATACTTTCATCTAGAAGTTTGTGGTACATGCATGCGCTGAACACAATTTTCCCTTTAACAAGTAGTTAATCTGAAAGGTGACGAGCAATAACCATTTCCTGATGTAATCTAACTAGCTGCTCTCTTTCAAGGACAGCACACGGGGTGTTTGTTGATAAAACAAAGTTTGCTCAGATACAATTGGCCAGGGACAGCTAACTCTGTCCAGTTTCAGTTGGAGGTGGGACATTTATTCAATGTTGTTGCCCTCATCGGGCACTTGGTGTACTAGACACTTGTGGAGTGCTATTGCCTGCAAGATGCATGAAGCCACCAGACTGTCAGTGTGGGCATTGGGAAATGTAGGAAATTATGGGATAGGTATACAAAATTGTACGTGGGAAGAAGAGGTTGAGCTGTCCTGCCATGGGGGTGCACAGGAAGTAGGCTGAATGCTCTTGCATTATCATTTACTCTACGGTTACATGCCTACAGTTACTTATTTGTTTCTGATAAACATTCTTGCTAGCAAAAATCTAAAAAAGATAGCAGTGTATGTTTAGTGGAAAGTTAAGTAATAAAATTCTTCTTAAGTAAGTCGATGGTGAATGTATAACTTGCCCCAAAATGTTTATCAGTATTCACCACCCACCACAGGGTGCATAGTGACATTACTGACCACGTGAGAACCAGAAGATACAAACCTCACAAAGAAGCTTCACAGATTAGTAGTTATTTTAAGAAGACCATGCCTCACGATGGTGACTTAATGTATCTGCAGTGGCAGAAGGTGCTTCTACCCATCAATCAATGATGACTTTTCATTCAGATCAAAATACAATTATTTTAGGTTAATTTTGCTCATTTTCAATCCCCATTTTTTTTTTGTTTATCTAGGAAAAGTGAAATACTAGCTATTAAGGTCTTTATGCCATTACCAGAAGAACTTCATAAATAGCGAACACTGATTCATATTAATGTCATGAGAGCCTTCAAACAGAAGTCACTTAATTCCCATGATGTTTGTTGTTTCATCTGCTTTGTAGAATAAAAACAAAATTTCTAGAAGTTCATTCTGTCGAAGGGCACATTATTGTGAATGCTATTATAAATTCAGATATAAGGTTAACAGAGATAAAATTATTTTTATGGTGATAATGACAAATATAAATTTTGATGGGGCCAGGTATTGTAAAAACTGTTTTTACTAAATTAAGAAACTTAAAGAGTATAAATACACTTGTGATTGATTGTGATGCACACATAATTTATAGTTTCATCCAACCATGCTGTAATAGTTTACTAATCAAAACAGAAGCTGTAATTGTCAAAATTTACAAATATTTACACATTTATCACAGTTGTTATAATTGAGTAACAAAATTTTTGTGATGAAGTAATTTTTGTATTTATCAAAACATAATGAATATTTGTTTCATTCAAAACAAAAATTATTTTAAGTGGTAGAACATGCTTCCTCTCTTTGCTGCCAACTGTGAGTTATAGTCTAGGTATGCACATGCCTTTGAAGAATGACTTTGTAAACCAACATATGGCATTGAACTTTCTATAAAAGATTCTGATAAATTTTGATTGTATTTTGTTCAAAATCAGTTGGGATTTTTAAAATTAGAATATTGAAAGGATGAAACCCCAAAAACTTCAGATTTGAAGCTTTTGGTGAATTTTCATGATTGAGAAAAGAGCTTGTGAAGAGCAAGGCATTAAAAATTATTTCTATAAAAATCGAGGGAAAAGCAGAACAAATTAAACAATAGTAGAACAAACTATATTTAAAATTTAATTTTGAATTATAATTGCACCTTGGAATACATTAAACTGTGGGAAGAATT